CCCCAAAACCCCAAAACCCCAAAACCCCAAAACCCCAAAACCCCAAAACCCCAAAACCCCTCTTCAAATAAGATTTGTAGAATATTTATAAAATGAAGAAACTTCCTGTCCAGAGAATTGTCTTCAAAATTCCAAACAAGTAAGACTCCCAGTAATATATTTATAGGAATTCAAGGCCTGAGTCTACAAAAAGAGCAAAGAAGCCTCCTTTATTAATGAAAAAAGTCAAGGGAATTTTAGTATGATACTCTTTATTTCTCATCTCTTAGAGGACCAAAATAAACCATAATTCAAAGTCCAAGACAAGACCTTTAGTAGAGAGCCTGAACGAGAGGTAGTCTTCTTCCTCATTCTTTAGACTAATCAAAGGTGGAATTAACAGCTATTCCGCTAATACATTCGAGAAGGATAAAAGTAGTCATTTTCTCTTTACTTTCATGCCTCCAAATATATACATCTCTAGATATGGTTCACGACCTCAGAAAAAGCGTTAAAGATCGGTATAATTAAGTTCTTTGAGAAGATTATTGATGAGAATGACCAAGAGAGAATTAAATATGAGACTAAGAAAGCAGAAAATTTTATCAAACGGTAATTTACCCAGGTTTTGAGCCTAAAACCGACCTCTCAATTATTGGTATAGAGTTCATTATACCGACGAAGAGACTACTTATAATAAGGTAATCACTGACAGACTCGTTTCGGGACTTATTGAGGATTCTGATCAAAAAGGAGACAATATTGATACCATGATTGAGGACACAAAGAACGGTGACCCTAATTTCTCCCCTGTCAAATGAGCTCTCATTTCTAGTACAAATGTGGGCGAAGGTAAGCTCAGCAACCGGCTTGAGGCCAAGATCCTACTCAAAGCTGTGGATCGTATCCTCAAAATAAGCCAATCTGAAAGGAAACAAGACACAGATGATACTCCCTAAGAAACCATTGTGTGTGATTTCCTCTAAAATTTTAGGAAGAATTTCTTCAGCTTGAGACCTAACAGAAATTCCAACTCATGAAGTTAGTTTTGTATTGATTACTCTTTAGAGAAATTGACTAAATTATCAACGAATAACTCTGTAATGAAGTATTCAAAATACTCTAAGCACCCAGCTAATTGTTTGAGCCCACTCAATGCTCCAGATATATCAAGGTAAGTCTTAGTTTCCATACATTTAGAGATAACAGCAAGTCTAAGTTCAAACCAGCAAATGAAAATGTTGCTATGAGCAGCTTTTCTTCCAAATCTGTGAGCCTGGAAGGCTCAATACATTTGAAAAATGCTGTTCACGATCAGAATGAAATTAACATCGAGAGTAAGTCCAGGCCCTGATTCTTAGGCCACTTCCAGTCAGAAATCCAAAGCATTTGTGATGACAATATCAGTGAATCTCGGGAAAGAATCTTGGAAGGACTGAAAGCCGTTGAGAATGGCAATCAGAAATATCTGAGTAATTATTTCCTAATAAATCTAGACCAAAATCCTTCCCATGAATCTGACAGAGTCATTGACTTCTTGGAAGATAATTTTAACCGAGATCTTCAGATCGAATCTTCAAGGTTGGCTTTTCTAACCTAATTATAGACTGAAGGATAATCTAGCTGTTGATTTAAGCTATGATAAACATAAGCAACTTAAATTGTCACATAGGAATGGAACAAAGGATCGGAAACTACTAGATCTGATACAAAAATTCAAGCTCGAGAACACAGAACTTGTCAATAAGATCTCTTCAAACCCTGTTGAAAACACTAAGAAAAAGAAAACGATATTGTTGTTACTGAACGAACTACGGCATCAAATCGCTAAGAACTGTAAGGAACGAGGAGATGTTCTGACTAAGTTATGGAAGTCTTACTTTCGTGAGATTTCTGGTGACCAAAATCGTCAAATTCAGCATAAGAATGAGTGAATAATTATCCTGCTTCAGAACATCTCTGACCTCAAGACTAGGCTAGATGAGAAATAACTTGAGAATTATGGAAGTTGAAGAAGTTAACATAAACCTCATTGATGCAAACAAGGGCCTTCAGGACATGCTAGATGAAGCCAAATCTATTTACAACTCTCAAAAGCAGAAGATCTTAGATCAAGAGAGAATCCAGAAGGAAATTGAAGACGAGTTCTACTTCTGGCTCCCAGGCTATGAGTACTACTCCAAAGACAAAATTTATAAAGAGAAATTGGAGAAAATCAACCCTGTCAGACAATATGATGAATACACGCAAGATTTCGAAGATAACAGATTCTTACTCTTCGGTGATGCAAACAGACTCCTTAAGGCTGTTAACACTAAATCTGAGTTTGAGTTTAAGTTCCAAAAAGCCGAGGAGATGATCGATGCTCTTGACTCAGAAATCTCCAATATGAAGAAAGCTCAATATGAATTAGGGGAAGAGGTCAATAAATTACAGGAAGTTATCAAAGAGAAGGATTATGAGATCCATAAGTTGGAGAGACAGCTTGTAAATGTTAATGATTCTTTATCGTACGAAAAAGTTCACCGATTCCACCATGATGCTGTTAGCGTTCATATCCAAACAGATGAGGACCTTGACTTCCTTGAGCTTCTCAATGGGAGCAAGAGAGGTCGTAACTGGCACTTGAAGAAGAAAATGTCAAAGAAAAAATCTCAGAAATTCCAGAAACTAGAACGTGCCAAGACAGTTAACGAGAATACTTATGTTGAGGTTGAGATTAACAAAATTTTGAGGAAGACAAATTTCAATCCTGGACGGACATCAGTGTTTAGCTTGAAAAATTGCCTTCAAATCTTGAAAGAAGCTTGTAATCGAAGACTTGAGATTTTCCAAGAGAAAAACTCAATGAAGCGCCCTCCAGAACTCAGGACCTACCTGTATGAAGAAATGTTGAAGAGATGCAAAAATGAAAAGATTGCTGTAAGACAGTATGAGCAGTTCATACTTTGACTAAAGAGGTTCAAGACTCAAGACTATAGAATCGATTTATTCAAAAGATTCCTTGTTTATGACGAGGAAACCTTTTCTGAAGAAATATTTGAATCAGTGCTCAAGATATTAACGTATCTGAAGCTTGGTAACTTCCTATTCTAAGTATAGACCGAGTATTCTCTTTGCAAGTCCAAGATGTATACATCCCACTATCAAATGCTGAGCAATGAATCCTGAGAATCTTCCCGAACTCTCCAAAGATACTCCGTAATAAGGTCTTGAGTAGTGTCCAACATTCCTGTAAGGTCTTCTTGAATACTAAATTGGTAACTATTTCACGTGATGATGTTAAATACTACAAAATCTTAAAAGAAATCTACACAACTATCATTGTCAAATGGAACTCTTCAGTTGCAAAAGTCTTTATTGAAGCTTTCAAGCTGAAGAAAGAGAATAAAGGAAAGATGATCATGAAGAAGGATTTTGAATCCTTCCTCACTAAAGTCATGAAAATAGATCTCAACTCGATCGAGAGAGACTCCTTGTAGGACATAAATATTAAATTTTTAGGAGCTTTAACAACTTTTTCACTAAATTCTTCGATCCAAAGCAGATAGGGTGCACAAATTTAGCATCCATTTTATCTGCTTTCAGGACGAAGGTAGATATCAGCGTCGCTCTGCCAAAACTTTTGTTCATAGCTGTGAATTATATTGTAGAATTTGAAAACTTTATTCATACCGAGACTGATAGAGTCTATTCGATGTATGAAGATCATGAGCATAAAGGAATTGATTACGAAAATCTTGAGAATGCACTAAACAAGATAGGTACCTTTCGCGTTAATTCTGTAGCCTATAATTCGGAAAATATCTACCTTGCCCTCGCTGATGTCAGGGAAATTAAAGGCGCTAGTGTGATGGACAAGCAAGAGTTCGAAATTCTGACTCGAAAACATAGAGTTTTTGAAGAGTCTAGTTATCTTGATGAAGCATTCTCGATTTATGGTAATATTTTGAGTTAAAAATAGACCAATCTACCATTTTCAAAGCAGATACCTCTAAAGACGAGAACAGTCTAGCTAAAGAGTCAGATGAATTGATCAAGGAAGAAAATGACTCTAAGGAAGATGATGAGGATGATGTCAAGAAGATTACTACTTTTCAGAAGCCCCCTAAGGCTCAATCTGCCCTTCTCAAGACTATTGACAAGTACCATAAACCAATTGGGAGTTCTTAGATAACTAATATTTCAATATTCCGCAGATAATATGGGGTTTTGGGGTTTTGGGGTTTTGGGG